CCTGTGCCGACTAATGTCGACTCGCTAACAGTGTGTCAGCAGGTGCTGACTCGGATGAGCTTAGTCCTTACCCACCGTGGTGCCCAGCCGCAGCAGTGACCTCCAGGCGACAATTGCAACTTCTCGCGCCTGGGCGGGGCGCGAACCGCCGACCCCTCGGATGAGAGGCCGACACGTTACCATTGTACTAGCCCGGAGGCTAGCCTCCAGTAGCTAGAGACAAGTTTGATACAGCATTGGCAGTCAGGACTACTACATTTGAATAATTATATAATACACAAGCAAAAATTCGCAACTATCCCTCAACTAATATGTGATTGTATATCCTAGAATTGAAAATTGACTGTTTTAAGTTCGAGGACTTGGCGACCCCAGGAAAAACGCTTGGCGACCCCAGGGTTGGGAACCACTGGAATAAGGCATCACATGAAAGCCTTGTTATCATTGCTATGGTATTATCCAACAAATAAGCCAACATTCACAGTCATCTGAGAAAAAAATAAAGGTTTATTTGAGTCTTCACTCGGCCCGTGGGACCTTCTTGAAAAAAACGTCTTAAGACGTTACCTGCCGCGGAAGGGTTAGAGAACAGGATCTAAGAAATCCCGTGTTGTAAAAGCTGTGGTTTCAATTCTTACTATTTTAGACATGAATTGATGCCGAATTTGACATTATTGATTCTGTCTTGCCTTGACAAAAGAATGTGAGAATGACCCCTCGTGATACGCTTTTAAGCCAGTTGAGCATTGTAGCTTAATACTGACAACTATCACTCTCAATGCTGTGTCAACGATGTGCAGTGTCGCTGGAGTGTCCTCTCCAGTGTTGTGAGACAGCTCAACTTCATATAGTCAATACTTGAGCGAAAGAATGTGATATGATAATATATGATTATGATAATATTAATAATAATAATAATAATAATAACAGTGATGATGATAATAATAGGGATAATAATAACGATGACAAGGATAATGGTTATGGTTACAATAATAATATCAATAATGTCAGTGTTAACATCAATATCATTATCAGTTTTATTATTGCTATCATTGTCGTTGTTATTGTTATTTCTATTTTCATTATTATTATTATTATTATATAACATACTAACATGCTCTCTCTCTCACACACACACACACACACACACACACACACACACACACACACACACACACACACACACACACACACACACACACACACACACACACACACACACACATATCCTAGGTCGTCCCACAGGGGTTGTTTTGGGCAGAGACAAACCTGGTGGGCAGGATCGTTTTGAGGGAAGCGAGCCAGATGCCTATATGGCCTGAGTAATAAGGATAAGTCCGATATGCGAAGCTGAGCCTCGCCCGGGCTATGGGGGAGTCCGGCCTGTGCCGACTAATGTCGACTCGCTAACAGTGTGTCAGCAGGTGCTGACTCGGATGAGCTTAGTCCTTACCCACCGTGGTGCCCAGCCACAGCAGTAACCTCCAGGCGACAATTGCAACTTCTCGCGCCTGGGCGGGGCGCGAACCGCCGACCCCTCGGATGAGAGGCCGACACGTTACCACTGTACTAGCCCAGAGGCTGCCTAAGTAAGCGGTCCCAGATGGTTCGAGTACCGAGTCCTGTGCCAGTCTCACGGTGTAATCATTGGTTGGACACGTGGTCCTGCCAACTATAGCCCATCATCCAGCATAAGGAACTGTTGCAAAAGGCATCAAAACGAGACTCCAATACACAGGATATTGTCCAAATTTCACTACCATAGAATAAAACTGGTAGTATCAGGGCCTTGAAGACATGTAACTTGGTCTTTCTGGCATCTCCAAATACTCTTGTTGAGAGAGTCCCTTGCTGCCATGTAAATCCATCTATTGTCATCCTGGTCTGGCAGCACAGAGTCATGAGCTACACTACCAAGTTATGTAAATTGCTCGGTGACTTCAATATCTTCGCCGCAAACATGTACTGACTAAACAGGTTCTAACAGGCTCCCAAGTTCTAGATCTTGGTCTAGGTCCAGGAGACCTCTAAATGCAAGGGCTTTGCTAAAAGCATCTGGAGTCGCCACAAAGGGTTCCCTGAGACATATAGACTAGCAACAATTTCAGCAAAGGCAAGGTCGATAACATATAGCGATTGAATAGTGTTCCACAATGACTTTGGATAGTGTATCTGTCAGAATACCTTCTTGGGGTTGATGTATGCTGCTAGCAGACTACAGCGGAACTCATGTGTGGCTCAACAGTGACTCGAAGCTCCTCGATACAATCAGTTGTGGACTTGCCAAGAGTGAATCTAGATTGCCCCAGCCTCTGGTTCATCAGTATATGATCTCTGATACGTCTCAGAAGGATATGAGCGAGAATCTTGCCTTCCCGTTTCCCTTTCTAGAGAGCGATTAACAAGCCTCTCAACAGGGTGTTTATTTGACCAGCATGGGGGACTGAAGTGGACTGGGAGTTTAGCCACAACCAATCTACAGTCAGCACCACAGAACTCAGCACTGTGGTTGACCTTGTAGTTGTGGAAGATCCTTCAGTGACTGCTGAATGTGGTTAATCTCTGTGGCCACATTAACTGCATTGCTGTACCATGTCCACCGATGTAGGTCTAATATATAAACTCTAGGCCTAATAAATTAATTCACGACCACCCTAAGGTTATCTGGTAACAATAGTGCATTCAAGTATAACAGTACAAGGGCTGTTGTTCAATATGTAATGTAAAAAAAAACTAAGCCATCATTGACATTTATATTTTAATATCTAAAATCAAATGGACGAGAAATTACATGAATAAACAGATGTTACATCTTAACCCATTTGTGACAGGCTGTCACGTATAAGTGACATGCCCACTGTGAGTTTACTTGTTTAATTGTTTTTACACATAGATAGCTACACTTGTACTTGTACTGCCTGTCTCACCAATTTTCCATTTTCTTTAATTTATGAAAATATTTAAGTTATCTTATTTTGTTATTACTATTGTTTATAACATTATAGTAACTATAATGTTTATAATAAAAATAACACTATCGATATTCATAGCACTAGTAAAAAATACATCCAATTCATGGAAAGGTGAAATCAGGTAAGGCAGAGACATCTGTGTGTAGAGACATTTCACAAAAAATATAAAAAATGAGCACGGTATTTCCCCCATTTTTTGTTCATTTTCCCTGTCGCAAATGGGTTAATTTCCTAATGGAATGTTAATGCCCTCATTTAGCTATACTGCATACAGCTTACGATAAATATTTCCATGAAATTTGTTTTAGATAATGATAATAAAAAAAAAAAAAAAAAGTGATAAAACCATCTGGTTACAATATTTGTCTTTCTCTTTGCATGTCATTTACAGACTGATTAATGTTTTGACTTGACTTGTGATAATAAATTGCCTTGCACTGACATGTTATATTATTGTCTGCTAGTACAGTATTTTTCATTCCTTTTCCATAGCATCTATGCATCAATAACATATTTAATTTTAGCTAATTGACGGACATAAAAGTTGCACCTTTATCAACCTAAATTCTATAAAAAAAAAATGCATGTATGTTACATGGCCATTTCATGACTGGACAAAGTTTGGCCTCAGGCAATCACTGAGGGTGGACACCACTTCTGCCACCCATGCCGACATTACTCCTTATAGAAAGGAAGGGGAAACTACCAGGGCCAAAGACACCCACAATCCTCACACAAGACTGGCGGCCATCGGGACGAAGGTGGAACAGATAACCCGTTCCCAGACTGAGTCCCAGCAGTTGCTCCTTTTCCCAGCACCATCATGTATAGATACACTGCCAAAAGATTCTCCTAGGCTCCCCATAGGCGTCCATTAACTCCTAGGGGCAAAGGGGGCAGAAGTTAGTACGAAGCCATGGTGTGGCCTTGACTCCATACCTCTAGTGCCTCCTACCACTCTAAGAGCCTCTACAGTGCAGCCAAGGACCACAAGGTAACTGATTTCTATGAGTGACAATGAACAGGCACAGTAGAAATCTTGATAGAGAGGCTGTGAACATATGTGTGCGTGTGCGTGCATGAGAGAGAGAGAGAGAGAGAGAGAGAGAGAGAGAGAGAGAGAGAGAGAGAGAGAGAGAGAGAGAGAGAGAGAGAGAGAGAGAGAGAGAGAGAGAGAGAGAGAGAGAGAGAGAGATATACTACAAGTTTATGTATAGTCTACTGAAGTTTTTTGTGAATTTGTAAATTGGTTGGGCTTTAGTGTACATGTCTGATTCCCCAATATCCTTGAATTTATGGGAAAATGCTTTCTTTCTCTTAAATGCTATTAATATTGATATTGTTATTATCATTATTGACATTATCATTGTATTATGAAAATACAAAAAATATATATATATAAAAAATAATTAATCTCCTGAAATCAAGGAAAAGGGTAAACAGGTGAGATAGGCAAGACTAATAATTGACTTATAAGTGACTAAGCACTTGTGGACCCATTTGTGTGTACATAATTAACAAATTACAGTAGACATGGCATGTATGTCATGTCATCCATGATCAATGGGTTAAAACGAATTCATTTTTATTCATAATATCTTGTATTTTTGATATAATGAATTCCTAATAATAATAATAAATATGTCGGCAAAGTTCATATACAAATCCCTCTCTTTAACCAATGAAAAGTTTCTCAGGAAAATGATAAAGGCATGTGACCTTTTATGCCTGATTAATTGTTGCACATCAGAAGTAAAATCCAATGACTAAATAACGAACCTAAAAAAATCTTCTTTCTTAGTTTAATAAATAGCATTTTAGATTAACATTAAGTCTACTTCTCTGGAGAAAAACAAGCTTTCTTAAATATTTTCTTTTCTCACCATCATTAACATGATTTATTTCTAATGAATTTTTACGTCTCTCGTGTCCTGTTAAAAAATTAAGAAAAAAATAATGGAGAAAAATCCTGAATAAAATATACAATCTAATGTTGAGGTATTAAGTAAATATTAAAAAAAACAAACATTGCATAGACACTTTTATTCACAAATATCCATGTAATATACAAAATTTCAACAAACTGCCTACACTCAAAAAGTGTATCATCTCTGCATATGGTTTGTTAAGGCATCAATAATGCCCGGCATCTAGTTACTGTTGGAAAGAGCACTATGGACATCTTTCACACATTGTTCTGTTAATACAAAGAACATTCACAAACCCTTGCTTGCATGTGTATATGCATAGATGTATGCGTACGTGTGTACATGTGTGTGTTGGTATGTGTCTGTGTGTGTGGGTATGCGCGTTTATGTACACAACTTGTGTGATATCCTATTTGCATAGCGTTCCTCACATCAATTGTTTCAAAAAAACAAAATAAAATATTAAAAAGCTGTAGTTAGTCATCTAACCTATGAAAGAAAATGCTGTCCTGTACATGAATAGTGATTAGGCAAACCACAATATTACCATAAGGGAATACACTAGAGATTTCTCCATGTGGTAATCTAAAATATAACATGTAATCATTCCTCAACAGCTGAGGGAATTTCTCTCGCCATATTTCAAATGTGTAACACCCTCCACTCCTCAAAACCCTTTCCCCCCAAAAAAATGGCACATAATTACAAATTCACACTCGTGATAGATAATTTTTGTTGCTTTTCTTTCACTCTTTATTATTAGCAACACTTCTTTTTTTGTCTGTGAAAACTCATTCAAGTTTATATATTCCACAATCCACATAACACAAGAAAACAGACAAAGTGTTAAGTACCCTTTCCACTTTTCCAAGTTTATTGATCTTGTATTTTAAAGCTGAGACAAGCTAAACAATTTTCCTCATTAAAATAAGTACTTAGTAAAACACTTATAAAGAATAGCAAGTGACTTGAAAAAAACATTATAACATGAAAAAAGAACAAACAATTAATTCAGCTGGGAAAGAACTGCCAATTCAATTATGAAACCAAATAAAATAATAAAATTCACTATATCACGGGTCACTTTGCATTCATCAAATCAAAACTTCAGTGTAACATTTCAATGAAATACAATACACTTCTCTATATTAAAAAAGAGAACATTTAGAACCATACAAAAGGGGAAAAAAAAATGAATAAAAAAATATATAAATACAAAGCAGTAAAACACTGAACTAACTCTCCTATGCTATTTAAGTACCATTACATTTTCAGTCTTACTATGGGTACTCTTCCCTCTCTATTCTTCACGAACTACAAGCCACTAATTCTTCAACTGATGAAAAACTGCAAAATAATCCAACAGCTCTTTCTGGTTCTCATTCAAATTCCCTAGGACTAACTACTCAAAAATGACTGACCTATTATGCACTGTCATTAGGCCCTTTTGCAAGCACTAGCAAGGAAATCAGTAACCATTCTACTGAATATAAGTAGTTGCATGCAAGTTGCTTTAGGCCTAATGGGAAGTAAGTCGAGATAGCAGATAGCAGTATCTTTGTGGGGATAATAAAGATAAAAATAAGACAAGATTAGAAAAGATGTATATATAACAATAGTAATGAAAAAAATAATCTGCTATAACTCCTGTTTACAAAAACATGCTAGCTAGCAGCTATATATAACACTACATCTCTAAAATAGGCCTACAAGAACTGGACCTGTCTCTGGACTGCAAGTAAAACACTAAAAGCCTCATCCTATAGCTATTATAGGATGGCTTTCTCAATATATTTAACAGAGAGAAATGCAATGTATAGCACAATATTATGGAAAGACTTGACCAGTAATAATAAATGGTGAATGAATCAAACAAATGGAACGTTAAAATGCATGAGTCGTGAGGAAGGAAATATAACACAAAAAGTAAATGCTAATATATGGTAATGGTTATATCAAATCAATCAATTTCTACCCAGTTTCTCCCATAAAACACAAGACTTGGTCCCAAATTTGGAATTAGCTGGTTTTTGGACCAACACTATATGCCAAATTCTCGGCTTAAAGAAGCATGGTTATAACATTCATAACTTCTTAAAAAAAAGACAAATAAATAAAAGAAATCAAGAAATTCTTAAAACTAAATTCAAAGCCAATGAATTTCTATGTTTAAGTATGTACAAACACATGATACAAACCACCACCTGTGCTGTAAACAAATATACTGGTGGTTTACAAGCTTTACAGGGTAATATAGCACACAACAAATCATGTCATCACACAAAACTAATAAGACACAAGATTTGGAAATGGAACACTCTAATGGCATATAGACAAGGGGAAGATTTCAAGGAAAAGACATATCTTACAAAAAAGAAAAGAAAAAAAGAAAGAAAAAGATTATATTAATGATATATTAATGAAAAAAGAACAGGAATGGGTTATCAAAAATAAATCCCATTCGCAAACTTGAAGAAAAAAAATGGAGCAAGAGATAAAGCTCTAGTGAAGGGGCTATACAAATTATGAAAATAAGGCACACTTTAATATCTTAACTCCCATAAAAAACATTAGTCACCACCGCCTTTTTCTAGAGGAAGGTGGTGACAGTCTGAGCTCAGTATCTTCCTGTGTTGGCATAGACGTGGCCGTTCCCGTTGCTGTTCCTGTCAACATTGTGGTAGCCACCGCCACCCTTGATGTGTCCGTTGCCATAACCATGGTCATTGCCATTGCCATAACCATTGGCTCCTGGTGGGGGCCTTGAGGGAGGGTTGGGAGCCTGGCGGTGAAGGCTGGTCTGGGGAGGTGGAGGGAGAGCCTTGTTCAGAGACTCTGGCCACGAGTAGACAAGCTCGCCTCGCTTTGTGCCCTTCCTGCAATTCCAACATAAAATTGTGAAAACGATGAATATCAGCTTCTGCAAAAGTTTGTTACTAATTTTATTTTCAAATTATTCAAAGAGAAAATCAAGAGAGTAAAACTGTAATGAAGAGACAAACGTTATAAGGGGAGCATCTGCCAATAAGCTTATAAGTTTTTTCACCCATAAAAATATAACACATTATGACTTTTTTGTGACTTCCCTACCCTTCTTATAGCCTTTATAATGCAGACACAAGGTCTTCTGGTGAAGAAAAAAAGCTGTACTGTGATAAATATGATGACTTACCTAAATGCCGGGAAAGTTCCCACATTTGTCTCCTCAACTGCAACCATGCGTGACTTGTTTCCCAGCATGCACTGCAGAGTTCCAGCCACTACAACACGCAAGTCAGCACGATTCAGACTGTCGAAAAAATAGTAATTAGTCTTCCAAGCTCCAGCAAATCCACTCTTTAAGATGACTGACTTAAAAAACTCCCAAGGATCAGTCCAACTTGGGAGACTTTGCTAAGACTTGCACTACCTATAGGCATCACTTAGTTATCAACACCATAAACATTAAAGAGTTCCCTATTAGAATAACCAATCAAGAACAAAAATGAGCCCCTGCTAGAATGACTGACGAACTAGGGGATTTCTTAAAAAAAAAAAAAAAAATGATCAATAACACTCAGAAACCCTAGTCCACTTAGGCCCTCAGTTAAAAGGACTGTACAACACGACTCGAAAAACGCAATAATAGCAACTCACAGCTGGTACTGTCGGAGGAGGAGTCCAGTGAGCTCCCCCACTCTGTTGGCGTTCGACTGGGACATCAGGGAGACCACAAAATCGTTGCCTCCTCGCAAGTGAATGATCACCAGCTGGTCCTGGCCGGGGCTCACACTGATTCCACTCACCTATTTTGTGGAAATTATTAATGTTGTTAGGGGCAATTAATGAGGTCTTGAAAAACTGGAAGGCTGGTGATATTCCTAATACACAGCACAAGTAATTTTATCTAAAAATTGTTTAGGAAAATATACAAATATTCAAATTCCCAAATACATACAGGAAGAGGAAAAAGTGAGGGAGGAGGAAGGAAAGGAGGAGGGGAAGGGGGAGGGAGGGCAGGAGAGGCAAGAGTGAGGAAGAGGGAGAGAGAAGACAGAGACAGGGAGTCAGAATGACAATGAAAATGAGAATGAGAATAAGAAAGAAAAAAAACAATAGAGAGAAAATATGAAACTACAGAGAACAAAAATAGAAATGAGAGAAAAGCAAAAGAACATATGATAAAAAGAAAACGAGAAAGAGAAAATGAATGCAATACAGCAAGAATGAAACCGAGAGAAATGAAAAGACCCAACAAAAAATTTAAGAAAAGTAAGGAACAAAAAGAAAAGAAAAGAACAGAGAGAGGGAAAGAAAAAAATGCAAAATCTCACCTCCAAGATAGGTATGGGGGATCTCAGAGGCTTGAAAGTCTTGCTGTGCAGTTTGTAGATCTGTCTGTCTGTCACGAGGATGGCTCGTTCAGACATCTTGTCATTTCTGTTGATCTTCCTCACAAGGCTCGAGAATAACACCTATAAAAAGAAAAGAAGAAGAAAAAAATTAAATGCAAAGTCAAAATGGAAAAAAGTATTCTGACCATGAGGTTTATTTATAAGACTAATATGATTTTTTCTTCTTTTTTGTACCAAAGTCTTCCTTTTTTTTTTAGCCCACTCACACACCTGAACATTTATATAAACTCTCCAAACTTAGTGACTAAGAATTCCAAAACTGCTAAAATTGTCACTTATGCATAACTAAATACTGAAAGGACAATATCTAACATCCAGTCACAAGAAGACTAGATGGAAGGAGACTTCAAACATTTTGCAGCAACTCACCTCCCTAAACCCATCTTTGTTCCTCATGTTCTTGACAGCCGACTGGAATGCGGAGGAATCTGGGTTTTCTCTCGAGGATGCCAAGTAGTTTCCTTCCCATGTCTCTCGCACTCCCCAGTCTGCCCGTTTTCCCATAAGAACATCTCCGGCAATCACCTGTAAGAATCACAAGTCATAATTAGGATGCCTATAATGGTACCTTCATTCTAAAAACAGCAGTAGATGAAACAAATTAATGAATACATGAAATAAAGAAAGTAAAGAGAGAATAACAATAAATAATGAAAGCAAAGAATTACAATACACATTTATCAACCAAGCAAAAGTACACTCCACAGCATGGGCTGCAGTTTCCCCCCAAGTCAGTAACTCAGCCTAATACCCTGGAGATCAGTGCGCTCTATCCCCCATAAATACCAACATGGACTATCCACTGAAGAACAGTGCTTTTCCATTTCTGCCTCAGCAAGCAAAATGAATGGGCTCCTCACCTTGATTCTGAGCTGCGGCCAGTCTGACTTGGGCACATTGGACAGGATCATGTGAGCTCGCCAGCGGTTGTGGATGCTCTGGAAGTCAGACACCATTGACCGTAACACCAAGGGGGGTGCAGGCCAGCGGACGTGCTTCCCGTAGTCTTGCATCTGCCGCACATTCCTGTAAATAGCGGTCCGAGGTTAGGCTTGTGGCAAGGACAGGAGGCTTGAGTTCAAGAGGTATATGCATGAATGGTAAAACACTCTGATGCATTTTTAGAAAATTATCTTATAGTCTGATTTTTCTTTTTTTCTTTTTTTTTTTTAGCAAAATTCAATTAATATTTCTATCATATTTAAACCGAATAATGATAATAATAAGAAAAAAATACATATACAAAGAAAAACTTTCAAATACAGGTTGTGTCAAAACTACTCATCAATTCACTGTCATTCCATCCAGTGATCTAGGTGTGTTATCAATACATCAAAGGTAAAACATGAATTGAAGATACATATGTAATATATCCCACAGTGAAGGAAAAATCTTATGGACAAATATTCTAACACAATACAGGATATCACTATCTAGAAGGAACTTCACCCAATCTGTCTGACCGTCCACTACAAAGATGTAAAAAATAAAGCTGTGTTAATGCATTCTCTTCTGGTGAAAAAGGCACTAGAGAACATGAATCTTCTGTTATAATCACAGACTTCCGATGAAAATAATGTCAAAATGTTAATCCCCTTGCAAAATTATTCATACACAAATTTTTTACATCTTCAGCATTCATCACAATAAAATCAGATCAGGAATTCTCCCAAGGCATCTATCCCCTCTGGCATTCATAGATGAATGATGCCCCAAGTCGTACAAGAAAGAGGAAAGTGTCGTGGGGTGAGACAAGAGGAATTTTGAACTAATCTGGGTGCACTTTGGATAATGATTAATCTAGGTATGCCGTCTTACTTTGGGCTGTTACCCAAATATTGCTGTGGACCACTGCTGATATCGGGCAAGCCGCGACGAGCCCTAACACCATTCAGAAATATGCGTTTCAGTAAGAAACTCAAAAGATGCTATTTGTGTTTCAAAAGTAAAATCTCCTGATCTTTACAAATATCAGAGTAAAAAAAATTAAGTATATATAGAAACATATCAACTTTACACTGTAACTGAACAAACATCTAATAATGAAATTTTGATTTAATAAAATAAATGAGCATGTATAAAAAAAATAATAATAATAATAATAATAATTCTCATCTTTGAAAAGAGAAAAGATGGAAAACCTCACCTGAAGACACGGTGGAGTTCAAGCATGTACGACCTCATCTTGTACAGTCTGTAATGACGCATGATCGTCAAGGCTGCACACATTCGTCTGTAGCGCATCCTGCACAGAGCACCTCTCCACATCTTTTGCAAGAAGATCACAATGCCTGGAATCAACTTTGCTCTTGCCTATAGACAAGAAAGGCAAAGCATAAAGAAAAAAGTGTTAAATGCAGTTCCTTCTCTTAACTTTACATTACTAATAAAAATGGTTTGAGATGATATGCGTTAATCAAATTGCTAAATATAGTGGTCAAACAGGGCTTGATTGAGGAGGAGGACCTTGTTACAGTCTAACCATGAGTTCATGAACATGACCTAAAGAACAAAACAAGAGACCATTTTAGAATACATACAAATATTCCTTTTAGTCACAAAACTACACTAAAAAGAACAGGGAAAACTAACCAATAGACTAATACACAACAGCCCCTTTTTTTATCTGAACACAATTAAAAGTCCAGCGTTACCTGCTCCAAGGCGAAGAGCGTCTGTGGCGACCGGACAAAGATCTTGGTGTTCCCATACTTGACATCATTACTGAAACCTTGTTCCTCCACCAGGATCTTGGTGCCTTCACGGTCTGTGCCACCATGGAAGTTTGGCCATGTGTACTGGGATATCATCTTGTATCTGGAAGTGTGAATAGAGGCTTCTACATACATGCTCCTTTAAGTGCACTAGATTCTGACCTGAGTTTACCATTTTAAGGGCACTGAAACTGTGTTGGACTTTCTCTTGAATTTATCCTTCTATGTGCACTAGATTTTCTGTAAAATTTGCCCTTTTAAGTGTGCTGGATTAATTCATAAGTTTACCTTTCTAAATGCACTGGATTCATTTCCAAGTTTACCTTTAAAAGTGAATTGGATTTTCTCTTTAGTTTATCCTTTTAAGTACACTGGATTATCATCTAGATTTAACCACATGTTGTGCTCATTTTTTATTTTTTTGTGAAATGTCTCTGCACATAAATGGCTCTGCTAGTGCTTAGCCACAAAGTCAATTAGTAGACCTTGTGACCTTACCTTATTTCACATTTCCTAGAAATTGGTGCAAAAAACATAATTTCTACTAATGCTATGAATATCAATGGTGTTATTTTTATTATAGATATCATTATAGAAGGGTAAACGGGCAAGACAAACAACACTTGTTGTCTCACTGGTGACTTAGTACAAGTGTAGCCAGCTATGTATAAAAATAATTAATAAAGTAAACTCCCAGTGGGCATGGCATGTACGTACATACCTTGCCTGTCGGAATTGGGTTAATCTTGTACGTGCACCAAATTCTCACTTTCTTCTACCCTTCGAGAGGTAATGGATTCTCTCCTAAGTTTATCTGGCTAAGTGACCTGAATTCTCTCTTTAATTTTCTTCTAACTGCACAGGATTTTCTCCTAATTCTATCTTTCAAGTACACTAGAATCTCACCCTCAAAAATCTGATATTGAGATTAAAAGATGGAGAAGGAATGATTATTAGCAACCCCTATGTTAATCCTTCTATATAAAATATGTGATACTAAAACTGCTTACCTTCTTAGGAACCGATCATAGCTCTGTCTGTATGCAAATCCAGCTCTTCTGACGCGCAAATTTTCCACAAGACCTAAGTAGTTGACCTGCGGAAAAGATGACTGATAACATCCTACAAAATTTTACAGAATGCAATCCTTCAACTGTCAATGTAAATCACACCCCCCCCCCCCTCAAACACACACTCTCAATTACTCACTCACTCACACTCCCTCTTACACTCACACTCTCACACACACACACAGTAGCACACATGCATAGTTCATATCCCCCCCAGAAAATGACTATGAATACATATCGCCTATGTCTAGTTTTTCAACTGCATAAGAAAATTCCACAAGTAAATCAATAAATCTATCAACCAATCAATAAAACATACAAAAATTACTTTCATCAGACTCTTTCTCACAACCCACCTGATGAGTCACTCGTTCCTCGTCAAAGATTACAGGGGACTTCTGATCATTGGGTTTGATGCAGCGGATATAGTAGGGCTCCTTGCTGGCCAGGTTCTTTACCAGTGCAATCATCGAGTTTTTGAAGAGAGTACCAGCTGTTAGTGGCCTCTTTGTTGTCTGCAATGATAAATTCAGTAAGTCTTTTTCTTCTTTTAATCATTTCATACTTTAATCTAATCTTTTACTCACCGTCCATTAAATGATATCACATATGTGAGCCTTATGATGATGTAGTTTGTACAAAAGTGAATTTCTTTTTATATATACATGTCTCTCATTCTTCCTTAACCATTACTTACCATTGTGATATCCTGGGCCCCCTCTGGCCACATGCTTGAAATCACAGGATCTGAGGAGGAGTACATCAGCCTTTTGAAGTCTTGGAAGAGTGTGTCCTTGTTCTTCTCCAGGAAACCCTTGATGCTGTACACCACATCGCCAGCATAGTGCCTAAAGAGAAAGGATTATGTGGTCACTCTCTCCAACACATGGACATTCCAACCACTCGTTACATAACATTAACGGTTCTTCCCCCCCTAAAACCTCTCTTCCTCCTTTCTCTAAGCATAATGAGAAGCCTTTCCCAATATCATAAAGGCTTAAAGAGTTCCAGCTAGCCTCCCATTCTCCTTCTCAAAAAAAAAAAAGAATGATAATGAAAATAAAAGCCAGTCTAATGAAGAGCTATAGAGGCGGGTTCTTACTTGACGCGAAACTCTTCAACGTGCTTGAGTTCCTTGTCCATTGGTGACAGCTTGCGGGTAGTGAAGTGCTTATGTCCTTTCAGTTTGCCTTCCATTGCCTCCAACAGCATCTGTTAGAAAAAAAATAAATGGGAATAACTTAAAAAAAAAAAAAACTAAAGCCATCAGTACAAAGTAGTAACATATCTTTTCTGATATGACAAGATTTGGGAGGTACCAAGACTAAGACTTATAGTCATTAGGGGACAACATTCCACACAAGAAAATCAGACAATGCTTTCAGTAATAGGTAGCAATGGAGGGGTACACACAGAGGGGGAGAGAGGGATAGAGAGTGAGGAAAGAGGGAAAGGAGGGAAAGGCAAGGGGGGGAGGGGGGAGATACAGAGAAAGAGAGAGAGAGAGAGAGAGAGAGAGAGAGAGAGAGAGAGAGAGAGAGAGAGAGAGAGAGAGAGAGAGAGAGAGAGAGAGAGAGAGAGAGAGAGAGAGAAAGAGAGAGAGAAAGAGAGAGAGAAAGAGAGAGAGAAAGAGAAAGAGAGAGAAAGAGAGAGAAAGAGAAAGAGAGAGAAAGAGAAAGAGAGAGAAAGAGAAAGAGAGAGAAAGAGAAAGAGAGAAAGAGAAAGAGAGAAAGAGAAAGTGAAAAAGAGAGAAAGAGAAAGTGAAAAAGAGAGAAAAAGAAAGATAGAAAGAGAAAGAGAGAAGGGAAGACAGAGAGAGAGAGAGAGAGAGAGAGAGAGAGAGAGAGAGAGAGAGAGAGAGAGAGAGAGAGAGAGAGGGAGAGAGGGAGAGAGTGAGGGAGAGAGGGAGAGAGGGAGAGAGGGAGAGAGGGAAAGAGTGAGGGAAAGAGAGAGGGAGGGAGAGAGAGAGAAAGAGAGAGGGAGAGGGGGAGAGAGAGAGAGGGGGAGAGAGAGAGAGAGAGAGAGAGAGAGAGAGAGAGAGAGAGAGAGAGAGAGAGAGAGAGAGAGAGAGAGAGAGAGAGAGAGAGAGAGAGAGAGAAGAGAGAGAGAGAGAGAGAGAGAGAGAGAGAGAGAGAGAGAGAGAGAGAGAGAGAGAGAGAGAGAGAGAGAGAGAGAGAGAGAGAGAGAGAGAGGGGGGGGGGGGGAGAAGGAGAGAGAGAGAGGGAGAGAGAAAGGGGGGGAGAAAGAGGGAGAGAGAAAGGGGGGGAGAAAGAAGGAGAGAGAAAGGGGGGGGGAGAGAGAGGCAGAGAGAAAGAGAGAGAGGCAGAGAGAAAGAGAGAGAGAGAGGAGAGAGTCACAGAGAGACAGAGACAGAGAGACAGACAGAATAAACTGCTATTCACTAACCTCATCTGTCACTCTGCCCACATTTAGACATGCTTCATCTGTAATGGCAATGATGCCCTTGTGGGACTGCTCAACCAGGTCACAGATGATCTGGTTGTTGAAGTATTCGATGGTCTGCCATGCGATGCCTTCCCTCCTGTACTCCTCCTGTTCCTGCTTCAGCACCAGCTCTGGAGGGGACAGGGAAAACAGATATAATACAGTTAACACAAGTAAACATATCAACATCTGAATTTCAAACTATGGGAAATGACTCTTCTGCCCTTTATCCATGAAGGTAGACTCAAATCTTAATGTAGGTCATAACCAATCTAAAAAAAATATTTTCATGTTTCAATATTGTGACAAGGTCGACATAGTGACATACAGTCAGCCGAGTACTGTGACAAGGATTACACCAAATATGCCACAATATAATGCTTATCAACTTATTATAGAGTAAAAGCTTCTTACCAATGAACAACTGTTGCAGTTTCTCATTGCAGTAATTGATGCAGAACTGCTCAAAGCTGTTGCGGTCAAAGATCTCAAACCCATAGATGTCCAAAACTCCAATCACAGTATTGTACTTGTACTTGGCCTCAGCCCCTTCGAAACGCACTTGAATAGCATTGTTGACCCCTTCCACAATAGAGGAGAAGAGTCTCTCATAGATGGCCTATAAATGATGAAGATGATTAAATTGAGAGTAATCACGAATCCTAAATGGTCAAAATATACACCCACTTTCACATTTCCTTCTTCATTGTTAGACATGTACAAAAGATGAATTCATTGCATAACATCTGTTTTGTAAACCGTTGATGGTGTTACACATAAAGCAGCAAAATATGATTAGGCCCTATCTGTTTAAGTGATTCATGATCACTGAAATGGCTTCTGCATATTAAGTATGAGGGGGAAAAGGAAAGTGAGTGAGTGAGTACAGGAATGAATAAGTGAGTACATGAATGAATGAGAGAAGTGACTAATTAACTCAGCCACTACTCACTCAATCACTCACTCACTAAATGTATGAGTTCTGCTGCTGACCTTTGCAAATGCATCACGCCCATAGCTGGCCTCGCTCTCTGTGTGCCGCTTCTCCATGACCTCGCCTCGTGCTGCAATCACTCGGTGACACAGTGCCTTGGTCACCTGGTCGGGCGACACGCGCAAGAGCTCCGCAATGTTGCTCACCTCCTTTGGGTTCTTGATCTGTGTCTCATCGCCTCCGGAGGTGAATTCAATATTACCCTGGGGTGGAATCAGAGGGTCAGATGGGGAAGGACTAAGTATTATTATTTCAGTGCTTCGTTGATAATTAATAATCTCAGCAGTGGTATCATCACTGCTATTAAAAAAAAGAATTAGATAAACAATTATTGTATCAAATAACCATAACAGTAACAGTCTCAGTAATACTGATAATACCAATAACAATAAAAAAATATATAATTATGAGAAAAAAAGAAAGATAAGTGATAATAAAACAATAATATTAATAACAATAATAATGCTAATAACAATAATAATTTTGATGAATAATAATAGCAATGACAACAGTAACCATAATAATCATAGTCATAATCATAATCATAATCATAATCATAATAATAATAATAATAATAATAATAATAATAATAATAATGATAATAGTAATAGCCATAACAATAGCAATAACAATAACAATAAAAAAATACTAAAATAACAACAGCAAAACAAAACCTATTACTATACAACAGGCCTTTACAACCAGTCCCACCACAACCACCACCAACATACCAAATGCAGGATGGCGCTGACGACCCTCCAAATAGCATCGGTCTGCTCTGGCGTGAACCCTAGGGTCTTGAACGCGGACTGGCATGCCTTGTAGTCCACCTTGTCGGCAATGGAATCCACCCTGGGTGTACCCCCCTGGCGGATGTAGTGGTAGGCATTCACATCACGCTTCAGCTTGAGTTTGGAGAGCTCGGCGTCTGTCGCACCAAAGAGGACCTGCGGGGAAATGGAAGGGACGTGATAAAGGGTGAGTGAAGCGGAGAAGACGATGAACATGGTGGTTTACTGGGGGGGGGGGGGGGGGGGGGGGAGATGAGAGCAAAAGACGGGGGATTAGTAGGGGTAGAGGAGGAGTTTGGGAAAGAGAGAGAGAGAGAGAAAAAAAAAAGAGAATAAAAGAGAGAGAAAGAGAAAAAAAGAGCAAGAGTGAAAAAAGAAAGCTAAAGAAAAAGGACAAGACGAAGACAGGCAAACTGCGATCATCATAGAATTTTCCAATCCTTATCATAGACCAAGGAAATACTGCCACAATTAGAAGGATATCCCAGTCTAATTAGAAATTCCATAATGAATTGATTTGAGCAATAACCCTTCCCCCCCAAAAAAAAATATATATATATATAGATTCCTGATAGAAGGAGTGGAAGTTAGAAATTCCATAATGAATTGATTTGAGCAGGCCCCCCCTTCCCTCCCCCCCCCCCAAAAAAAAGAAAAAAAAATATATACCTGATAGAAAGAGTGGAAGTTTCTCTCTCCTGACTGCTGGAGGACCACACGTGACTTCTCCAGCAGGTAGTTCTGTACGTGGCCACCGATGGGGTCGCCCTTGAAGTCAAAGTTGATGTCCATGTACTTGCCGAAGCGCGAGGAGTTGTCGTTGCGGTTGGTCTTGGCATTCCCGAAGGCCTCCAGGATGGCATTAGACTGCAGGAGCACGTTCTTCACTCTTTGGGGAGGAAGGACCATGGGTGAGGCGAGGGATGGAGAAGAAGGGCGACGGAATGGAAGGAGAAGGCAAAGGCGTGGAAGATAAAAGGAAGGCAAGGGGGAGAAAGGGAAGAGGGGGGAAATTGGAAGGAGATTGAGGAAGTGGGGGAAGAGGAGTTGGTGTGAAGGCAGGTTGGGAAGAAGGGGGGGAAGAGGACAGCGAGAGCTTCGTTATAATCCATTACTCTGACTTGTCCATTTATTGTTAATGTCCGCCCATTCGTGTGTCCAGTTTTTGATTCCTATATCTGTCTCTTCTTTCCTTTGTTCATCAGTTCACTTCCTAACTACCATTCATTCTCTTGTTTGTCCTTAGAATAAGTAAAAAAGTTCATATATTCAAATACCACCTATCTACCTACCTACAAGGGTTCAGTGCTGTATATTACATGTGTGATTGTACTTGTGCATGCATTCATGCGTACTTCTATTCCCATGCATCCATTAACAATGATGATAATAATAGGAGCAATAATAACATGAAATAATCACTGTAAGTTTAAATAAAATAAGGAAATAAATAACAATAATTAGAACAGTATTAAAATTATGATGATAGTAATAAAAACAATAATAATAATAATAATAATAATAATAATAATAACAATTCACCAAATAATGCCAAGATGTTAGCAAACAAGTTGTTTACTTATCCCCCTTTACACTCTACCATCTACCTCCCTAATCTACGGGAAGACAACCTACTTCCCTTATGTGTATGTATATTTTGTACTTATTTTTTTTTTTCTCTCTCTCTCTCTCTCAAAAATACAGCTATACAGATACAGTACATCTTGAAGTATACAACAGCTAGTATAACTGTTCAGGTTGGTTGGTGTACATTTCTATCTCTGCAGGTGAACAGAAGAACACTATTCAAGGCACCTGTTCTGCATCTAGGGTTCTCTAACTAAGCTCACCTGGATATTCTATCGTCTCGCCTGCGTTCAATGTTTGATTCTCTCTTCTCTCTCTCCCATTTCTTCTCTTTTCTAACCTTATCCCTTATGCTAAAAATAGGTAAAGAGAAGAGGAAAGTAGAGAATAGAGAAAAGGAAAAGAAAAAAAACTAGGCACTAAACTATTGTCATAAAAGTGACTGGCACCAGTTAGTTCTTCTGGAAAATACATTTAACTTCTGATATGCAAAGCGAACAAATATTATATATGTGTATATATGGATATGTATATGTATATGTAAGTACATACTTGTGTATATATGTCTGTAAATCTTAAAAAAGATATACATATATAAAATATATACATATATACTTATATACATATATACAAATATACATACATACATATATATATATATATATATATATATATATATATATATATATATATATATATATATATATATATATATATATATATATATATATATTTATATATATATAAATTTTTTATATATAAAGATATTTTTATATATTTATATATAAATATTTTTATATAAAATTATTTATATATATTTATATATATATATTTATATATATATATATATATATTTATATATATATACATATACATATACATATACATATACATATATATACATTTATATATACATTTATATATACATTTATATATACACACCTATATATAGATTTATATATACATTTATATATAGATTTATATATAGATTTATATATACACACCCATATATACATATATATATACATATATATATACATATATACATACACCTATATATACATATATACATACACCTATATATACATACACCTATATATACATACACCTATATATACATACACCTATATATACATACACCTATATATACATACACCTATATATACATACACCTATATATACATATATACATATATATATATATATATATATATATATATATATATATATATATATATATATATATATATATATATATATATATATATATATATATATATATATATATATATATATATATATATATATATATGTATGTATGTATGTATGTATGTATGTATGTATGTATGTATGTATGTATGTATGTATGTACGCACGTACGTACGTACGTACGTACATATGTATGTATGTATATATAATCAGAACTGCACTGACATATTAGAATTTTCAAAGGAGTATATATATATATATATATATATATATATATATATATATATATATATATATATATAAAACAGAGAAGTCACTTAAATATCACAATCTTATCAATCTAGATGTGTTTCTATAACTCTTACTCTCCACCAAAATTACTTTTAAAGCCACCCTCTCCCACGACTATCTCCCCCTCCCATCACCCACCCCACCCACTCCCAGACCCCCACCCTTCCAAACCCACTCCCCCACCCCCCCACCCCTCCAAACCCCACTCCCACACCCCCCCACACCCTACCCTACCCCCCATACCCCCCACCCTTTCAAACCCACTCCCACACACCCCACCCTTCCAAACCCCACTCCCCCACCCCCCACCCTAGCCCCGCCCACCTCACCTCTCGATCTCCTGCTGGCCGGCGACGTTGGTGACGGCGGCGATGTACCTCATGATGATCTTGGACGCCTCTGTCTTGCCCGAACCCGACTCCCCGGAGATGACGATGCAGGTGTCCTGGCCGCGCCGCTTCATCGCCTTGTAGGCCGCGTCGGCGAGGGCGAACACGTGCGGGGGGCGCTCGAAGATCTCGCGGCCTGGGGGGAGGGGGGGGAGAAGAGGGGAGACAGGTCAGTGGGAGCGGAAGAGGGAGATGGATAAAGGGGTGGAGGTGAAGAGGTGAAGAGGTGAAGAGGTGAAGAGGTGAAGAGGTGAAGAGGTGAAGAGGTGAAGAGATGAAGAGGTGAAGAGGGAAGAGGGAAGAAGGAGATGGATAAAGGGGTGGATAGGGAAGAGGGAGAGGGATATGGATAAAGGGGTGGAGGGGGAAGGGGGAGAGGGAGATGGATAAAGGGGTGGAGGGGGAAGGGGGAGAGGGAGATGGATAATGGGGTGGAAGGGGAGGAGGAAGAGGAGGAGGAGAAAGAGGAGGACGAGGATAAGGAGGAGAAGGAAGAGGAGAAAAAAGGAGGAAGAGGAAGAGGAGAAAAAAGGAGGAAGAGAGGAGGAGGAGGAAGGGGGAGGAGGAGGAAAGGGGGGGAGGGAGGAGGAAAGGAGGGGGGAGGAGGAAAGGAGGGGGGGAGGAGGAAAGGGGGGGAGGAGGAGGAGGAGGAGGAGGAAGGAGGAGAAGAAGAAGAAGAAGAAGAAGAAGAAGAAGAAGAAGAAGAAGAAGAAGAAGAAGAAGAAGAAGAAGAAGAAGAAGAAGAAGAAGAAGGAGGAGGAAAGGGAGGAGTAAGAGGAGTAGGAGTGGAGGAGAAGAAAGGGGGAGGGGTAAGGTGGGAGAGGTAGGGGGAGGGGTAAGGAGAGAGAGAGAGGTAGTGGAAGTGGAAGAGGAGGAGACGGAGGGGGGTTGGGTGAGGGATAGGGGTGCATAGGGAGGAGGAGACGGTAGGAGTCGGGGGGGGGAGGAAAAGAGGGGGTTAGAGGCGTGGAGACGGAGAGGGAATGTTTGAGGAAAGAGAGGAAGGGGTTGGGGGGGAAGAGGAGGAGGACACGGATGGGGGGGGGGGGAGGAAAGGAAGGGTTAGGGAGGAGAAGAGAGGGAGAAGGGTTTAGGAGAAGGAGAGAATGGGGGTGGGAGTGGGGGTGGGGGGGCGAAGACGAGGGGATGGGCGAAAGAAAGAGAGTAAAATGATAAACAACAACAACAAAAGAGAAATTTGTCATTCATCTACTCACACTCCCCCCCCTTCCTTCTGTTTTTACCCCCCCCACTTCATTCTCCCCCTTTTCTTCTATCCTCAACCCCCGCCGACTTCATTCTCCCCTTTCCTTCTATCCCTCTACTTCCTCCCATCTACCCCTCTATTCATCCATTCACACTCCTCTCTTCTATCTCCCATTCCTCGCTCATTCATTCTCTCCTTCCTTCTATTCACTATCCCTCCATCTCTTATCCCCTCCTTCCTTCTATCCTCTATCCCTCTACTTGTATTCCCCTCCTTTCTTCCATCCTCAATTCTTCCCGTTCACATTCCCCCCTTCCTTCAATCCTAATACCTTTCTTCTATCATGCTTCCTTCCTTCTATCCTTCTACCTTCCACCCTCCATCTTTCCAACCCTCTATCCCCCCATTCCTTCATTCACATTCTTTCCATCCTTTTATCCTTCTCCCGTCCATCTTCTTCCCTCCACTTCTCTATCCTGCCACCCTTCCCCCTGCATCCTTCCATCCCTTCTTCCACTCCATCAATCCTTCCACCCGTCCATCCATCCACCCATCCATCCCTCCATCCATCCATCCATCCACATTCACCCACCCATCCCTCCTTCCCTCCCTCCTTCCTTCCTTCCTTCCTCCCTCCCTCCATCCATCCTTCATCCCTCATCCTTCCCTCCCTCCACCCACCCACCACCCATCCACACCTCCCTCCCCTCCCACCCACCTCATCCCTACCTCCCCAAACCCACCCCATCCCCTCCCTCCCTCCCTCCTCCCTCCCCCTCCCCTCCCACCCCACCCACCCACTACCCATCCACCCACCCAACCCCCACCCATCCCTCCCACCCATCCCCCCACCCATCCTCCCACCCACCCTCCCTCCACCCACCCATCCCACCCCACCCACCCATCCCTCCCACCCACCCATCCCTCCACCCACCCATCCCTTCCCTCCCACCCACCCACCCACCCATCCCTCCCTCCCTCCCTCCCACCCATCCCTCCCTCCCTCCACCCTTCCAAAGCCCCTCCTCCCTTACCTTTGTACTGGGTCACGTACTCCTTGCCGTACAAGTTGATGGTACGGTACGGATTAACGGACACGCACACCTCCCCGATGTACGTGTAGATCTTGCCGCCATTGAACCTGTCACGGAAAGACAAGGAGAATTTTAGAATAATAATCATGGATGGTGGTAAGGGGATGACGACGATAAAGATAGTGATAATGGCAATAATAATGATAGGAACTGGAAGGATATAACAACGAAAGTCCAACAATCATGATAATAATGAAAACATGATGATGATAACAGCAACAACAATAATAATAACAATAATAATAATAAAAATAATCCTTTTAATACTGATATATAAAAATAATAATAAAAAAAAAAGTAGTAAAAATAAAAACAATAACAATAGGGAAGGGTTGGGGAAGAGAAAGAACTCTACCGAGCAGATGAAACGAAACGAAAAAAAAAATGTGCCACGCCGAACACACCTGCGATGCACCTGCCACCTAATCACCGACACCTGTGAACCTAGCCCCCTCCCCCCCTCCTTCCTCCTCCTATTCCCCACCTTTTCAACGAACGATGGTGGAGGCTGAGAGGCAGACCTCCCGTACTAGAAGCAAAATAACATCAAACAGGGCAACAAGGCTGATGATGACACTATCGCCACCACCAACAAAAATGACAAAAAGCGGTATAGATAAAACGGCCCCCGGCCACGCCCCCTCCACCGTCCCGCTGTCTGCTTCAGATGTACCTCGGGCGCGCTGAGTCGTCCTCGAAGCTAACGGCGCTACATCGTGTGAGAAGGTCCGTTAAGAAGGCGTCAGGAGGAGGGGAAGGGGAAGGGGAAGGGGAAGGGGAAGGAGAAGGGGAGGAGGAGGAGGAGGAGGAGGAGAAGAAGGAAGAGGAGGAGAAGAAGAAATAGAAGAAGAAGAAGAAGAAGAAGAAGAAGAAGAAGAAGGAGGAGAAGGAGGAGGAGAAGGAGGAGGAGGATAAATGGAATGAGGATGAAAGGGATGACGATAAGGAGGATGAGGGAGAAATGGGAGGAGGGGAAGAAGTGGGAAGAGGGGGGAGGAGGAGGACAAGAGGGGGAGGAAGAGCAGGAGCAGGAGCGGGAGAAGGGAGAGGAGGAGTCGAAGATGAAGGAAATAGAGGAGAAGGGGAAGGAAGAGTGGGAGGGGGGGAGGAGAAGGAGAGGGAGAGGAGAACGCGAAAGAGTAAGGATATGACGAGGAAGTGGAGTCACGTGAGAAAAAAAAAAGGAGGAGAAGAAAAATGAGTCGAAACAAGAGAGAAAAGAGGAAGAGGAACGGAAGGAGAAAGAAGTCCCAGAAGAGGTCCACAGGAAAGCCAGTGAACACCTGCTGTAAACAAGATAAAAGGTATCTACGCCACATCCTGCGACAGCCAAACAGACAGAGAAACCCATCTTCTGACCCATTACCCCATCTATTATCTATCTATCTACCATCTAACAACGCTGCGCCGATCTATCTATCTCCTTGCTATCTGTTACATTCTATCTATTAACTACATTCCAGACTGAGACTCGTGCCAGACTGAGTTTCAAACATTAATCCAGCTCAGAAATCTTTACAAAAAGAAAGAAAAAATTAGAAACATGAACCTCGTCCACTTCGAACTGACTCAACGCTTCATTAAATCTTGGCACGCCCTTTAACCAGAACGAGGTCGCTTACAAAGACCAACACTAAAAGACTTGATCGGAAAACGCACGCAAGCAAGTACACTGACTGGCTGACTGGCTGAGTAAGTGAGTGAGTAAGTGAGTGAGTGAGTGAGTGAGTGACTGACTGACTCATTCACTGACTGACTCACTCTCTCACGTACGTAATAACAAAATGCAAAAACACAGCATCACGCAATAACACAAGAGGAAGAGGGGGCAAAAACACAAACATGCATTTTCCTTCGATATCGTATATCAAAGGGAAGCCATATCAGGTGCCAGGGGGGGGGGGGGTATGGAAATTCCACCCTCACCCTCACCCTCACCCCCGCCCCTACCCCCACCCCACCTCTAACCCGAATCAAGATGTGATTCACAGGATATGTTGGCGTGAAACTTAGGGAGGGGGGTGAGAAGGGAGATGGAGGGAGGAGGGAGGGAGGGAGGGAGGAGGAGGGAGGGAGGGAGGGAGGGAGGGAGAGAGGAGAGAGGGAAGGAGGGAGAGAGGGAGAGAGGGAGGGAGGGAGAGGGAGGGAAAGAGAGGGAGAGAGGGAGGGAGGGAGAGGGAGGGAGAGGGAGAGGGAGGGGGAGGGGGAGAGGAGAGGAGAGGAAGAGGGAGAGGGAGGAGAGGAGAGGGGAGAGAGAGAGAGAGAGAGAGAGAGAGAGAGAGAGAGAGAGAGAGAGAGAGAGAGAGAGAGAGAGAGAGAGAGAGAGAGAGAGAGAGAGAGAGAGAGAGAGAGAGAGAGGAAAATAATAATAACACATAACGCGAGTGCATTGCCGATACCGTCGAAAAAAAAGACAGCAAATAACCCCAAGATTTAACAGGATGAGAGAAGGTGACCTGTGGTGCTTCCCCGTTGGCAGTTTACTGGGTCAAGGCGCCCCCTGATCTCAACCATACACGCACACCGACCGCCCTGCAATGCTCGCTTGGTCCCTCTCTCCCTACCTCTTTCTTTCTTCCTTTCTTCCTTTCTTTCTTCCTTTCTTCCTTTCTTCCTTTCTTCCTTTCTCCCTTTCTCCCTCCCTCCCTCCCTCCCTCCGCCCCCCACCCCTCTCTCTCTCTCTCTCTCTCTCTCTCTCTCTCTCTCTCTCTCTCCTCTCTCTCTCTCTCTCTCTCTCTCTCTCTCTCTCTCTCTCTTTCTCACCCTTCCCTTAGAACACACACAAACACCATGACGGTTACTGCGTTCTTTAATTGGCATAATTAAGCTCCTATTAATTATTAATTATTTTGGCCCTGCCTCTTTCCCTCCTCCCCCTTTGCCTCCTTCCTTATGAAAATGATTTCAGGGAGGAGGTGAAGGGGGAGGGGGAAGAGGGAGGGAAAGGAAGGGAGAGGGGGAAGGAGAGGAAGGGAGAGAGGGAGGGAAAGGAAGGAAGAGGGGGAGGGAAAGGAAGGGAGAGGGGGAGGGAAAGGAAGGGAGAGGGGGAAGGAGAGGAAGGGAGAGAGGGAGGGAAAGGAAGGAAGAGGGGGAGGGAAAGGAAGGGAGAGGGGGAGGGAAAGGAAGGGAGAGGGGGAAGGAGAGGAAGGGAGAGAGGGAGGGAAAGGAAGGGAGAGGGGGAGAGAAAGGAAGGGAGAGGGGGAGAGAAAGGAAGGGAGAGGGGGTGAGAAAGGAAGGGAGAGGGGGAGAGAAAGGAAGGGAGAGGGGGAGAGAAAGGAAGGGAGAGGGGGAGAGAAAGGAAGGGAGAGGGGGAGAGAAAGGAAGGGAGAGGGGGAGAGAAAGGAAGGGAGAGGGGGAGAGACAGAAAGATGAGAGGGGGAAGGAAAGGAAGGAGGGGGGTGGAAGAGTTCTTACACGGCACTTTGACTTCTAAACTACATAATTACAGGGAGCTGATTATGGGAGACATTAACTTGGGGGAAAGCCAAATATCTGTAAACGAAACAAAACAAAACAAAACAAAAACAAAAAAGAAAAAAAAAGAGATGATGGTGATAATAACGTTACATTCAGTAAGTGCTATAGCATGTTATCATGAGACTAGCATGCAAGAAGACTACCAAAGTAATACCTTCTGTAATGATAGAAAACTTATGTTTTCACAATGACTAGGGTAGTAATACTAATTATAACAATAAGGACGATAATAATATCCTCAGTGAAGATGATGATGATGATAATGGCAGTAATGATGATGATATCAATGTAGATTATCAAAAGTGATGATAATAATGACAATAATAATGACTGATGATGATGATGATGATGATGATGATGATGATGATGGTGATGATGATGGTGATGACGACGATGACGATGACGATGACGATGACGATGACGATGACAATGGCGATGGACAATGGCGATGGCTATTGGCGATGGTGATGACAATGGTGATGTTATGATGATGGAAATGATAATGATACTGATGAGGATGGTAATGATGATCGTGATAATAATAATAATGATGATACCGATACACTAAAGGTGACCACGATGATTGATAGTGCCAGGCTCAGCAGGTGTCACAGTGCCAACACTTCCGCCACATTACAGTGCCGGCGACATTTCAAACGCGCATAATAATTGTGGCCGGCGATGCATTTAAGCGGGGTGACAGTGTATTGTTTACAGGGCACCACATCCGGCCTGCCTTTTGTTGCAGCCATTTCATTGTCTCTCTCTCTCTGTCTCTCTGTGTCTCTCTCTCTCTTTCTCTCTTTCTCTTTCTCTCTCTCTCTCTCTCTCTCTCTCTCTCTCTCTCTCTCTCTCTCTCTCTCTCTCTCTCTCTCTCTCTCTCTCTCTCTCTTTCTCTTTCTCTCTCTCTTTCTCACTCTCTTTCCCTCTTTCTCTCTCTCTCTCTCTCTCTTTTCTTTTCCTATATTTCTTAGTGCTATTGTTTCATACACACTAGTTGCTCCTGGTCTTCCGCGCATAAGTGTTTATGTTTGTTTGTGTATATGTGTATATGTATATATGTAAATAATATATATATCTTTGCTTGCGTATTTCTCTGTTTGTTTGTCTGTTTATTTGTGTGTGTGCGTGTTTATTGTTTGCTTATTCAATTCGTGATTCATTGTTTCGCACATGTGTTCATGGATGCAATTCTTGTACTTAGCACCAGTGTTAGAACGTTTTTAGTCTGTCGCTCGTATACATAAAAGACAAAAAAGAAAAGACGAGGGAGGGGGGGTAGAGTAGGAGGAGAAGGAATGTGTGTGTGTGTGTGTGTGTGTGTGTGTGTGTGTGTGTGTGTGTGTGTGTGTGTGTGTGTGTGAGAGAGAGAGAGAGAGAGAGAGAGAGAGAGAGAGAGAGAGAGAGAGAGAGAGAGTGTGTGTGTGTGTGTGTGTGTGTGTGTGTGTGTGTGTGTGTGTGTATGTGTGTGTGTTTGTGTGTGTGAGAGAGAGAGAGAGAGAGAGAGAGAGAGAGAGAGAGAGAGAGAGAGAGAGAGAGAGAGAGAGAGAGTGTGTGTGTGTGTGTGTGT